TGTTATTTATACAACTGTTATTTGTCAAAATAGTTATGATGAATATTACTACTGAAGGAAACGTCCAGGAATTCAGCAAGTATAAAGATTATATATTAACTAGAACAAAAACTTTTTATTTACACCTGTCAACATTTTTGACAGGATGGATTAAGGTATTGAGATAGTCTGTCTCTCTGTCTGTCTGTCTGTTCAAACTTTGGTTTTGGCAGGATAACTTGCTTGAATATCATTCGATTTTGATGAAACTTAATTAAGCTTGTACAGTAGACAAAGCCTATGGCTAAATTTGAAGTTGAGCAAAATGCTTTCTGAATTGTCTGCTTTAACTGACAAAGTTCCTTGATGTGAGGTAACTTACTGAGTGACCTTGAATAATAACAAGAACAGCATGTGTCCATTAACTCTCTATCCTGTAATTCCAGAAAGTATCGGGTTGATTTTTAACCGGAGGGTTGGGGGTGGGGGGGTACTCTAGGTTTGCACTCCGTTTGTCCGTCCTTCCTTCCGTCCAAGAAGATTGTCCGGAGCATGTCTTCTATACTATTTCACCTGGAGAAACCAGATTTTGTGAACAAGGACATCTTGGAATGGCGGAGTGCAGAGTGTGAGAATTAGGTCACTGTGACCTATGACTTGACATTTGATCTTTACTTTTTAAGAAGTTTGTCTGGGGCATATCTTCTATACTATTTCACCTGGAGTAACCAGATTTGGTGTACAAGGACATCTTGGGATTGTTGGCGTGCAAGAAGTAGGTCACTATGACATCACTGTGACCTATGCTTCCTGACATAAGTGAACTGTTTGTTAAATATAGAAATCATTACCAGTGGGGGACTATGGATATTGCGGCCTCAGAGAACCAACTCTAATTCTACATTACAATTTCATAGTCAAATGCAATATTAGGCTTAAGGATATATGCTACCTTTGTGATATGCATCAAAAAGAGTTCTATACTAAAGAATCTGTAAAATTGGCCCTTTTGAAAGGTGCACATAATTGATACCATTTTAAAAGGTAGACAAGAATTAATGACACATTTAGAAAAGAACTCTGGTATTGATGACAAACTTAAAAAATACACAAGAATCAATGACATTTGAAAGGTACACAAGCATTAATGACATAATTATAGGTACACAAGAATTGATGACATACAGATGTATATGTAAATTGCACAACAAAGAAGATTTGATAAGGCATTAGTAAGTTTGAATCATATAAGTTGATACCACTCAAGTATACCTGAAGTATACATTGTAACTAGTAATGTAAGAAAATAGTT